CTTCGTGTTAACTTAGGGTGTAGGATTTGGGGTTAGGGTTTAGGGTTTAGGGTTTAGGGTTTAGGGTCTAGGGTTTTAGGGTTTTAGGGTTTAGGGTTTAGGGTTTAGTCGAATTACTGGAACTTAGGAAATGCGTACTACCTACCTTCCTAAAGACATCTGAGGGGGTTTAGGGTTTAGGGTGTTTAGGGTTTAGTCGTGCTTTGGGTGGGTAACCTTAGATACATAACCCAAAATACCAGCGTCTTGCCTAGAAGACCACAAAGAAGAGATCACGAGCCAGAAGTTGAAGTTTCTGAAGCCTCCCGTAATAAACCGCCCTCCTTTTAACGGCCTTATAAGGATAATATAGGGGTAACATCGCAAAATAGAGGGAAATTGGGATTATATAGGGAAAATGGAAACTACGATTTAAGGCTGGCTATTAACAAAACCCCCTCCTTTTAAGGACCTTAATATTAGGATCTCTATTATAATTCCCATTAAGGGGAGGGGGGTTTATCAATCATGTGTCTACATTAATCTCTAAGCAGCACCCCGGTCATACCCCTGTATAAGCTGATGCATCAAGGTCCCTTCAACTAGTTCTTTTGCCAAACCCCTAAGTCATTGGATGCACAGGGCTGACCGAACAGGCTCAAGCTCCGACTTGCAGAAACTGGGAGGCAAAGGGGGAGCTTGAAGTTCAGGATTTGGGGTCTCAGGTACTTTAGGGTTTAGGGTTTAGGGTTTAGGGTTTAGGGTGAACCCTAAACCCTAAACCCCTTTAGGTACTCCAAATCTGAATAGGGTCTGACCGGGTCTGAGGTCTTATGGTGTAAGGTCTCTGGAAGCATCTTCCGCGCAACTAAGTGCAACATCGAAGGGTTTCCTCCGCTCGAAACCTGACCTGAACAGCCCAAAGTCCGAAACACCAGTCGTCGTCGAACCCTCCGACAAATTATATGCCTAAACTCACGTTAATTTTGGCAACATCACTAGGCGATTCAGGAACAATTTAAACAACTGCGCCCACAGGAGGATACTGAGATGCCTTGGAGATACAAGCTGTCATGACTCACACTGTAGCACCCGAAACAATGAGAATGACACCGCACCAAAAGACATAGTAGCAATACTTTCCATACTGAGGTAGATCACGATGACAACACGTGTAGCAATGAGTAGAAATGGGAACAGCAGTGGCAATCAATGTCAAAATGATAACAAGACTCATACTCATGTCGTAGTAATAATGATGAAAATGGCAATGACAAAATCGATTAATACCCTGAACCCTTAATCCAAAATTGGGCCACCCGGCATTAGGGCCCCAGAGACGTGCACGACTCTGGACATAACAACCAGACCGTAGCTGAGGAGCAGCCACTGGCAAAGAGCTTAGGATTTGAACAATCGGGGCTATGAAGGGATTGTGGGAGGTCATCATTTGCGCTTTCAGGTCGTGTTGCCAGAACACGATGCACAAACAGAAAAAATGAGCTGAAATTGAAAGTAGTATACATACCAGAAAAAAGATGAAGCAACAACCCAAAGGCTGCAGCATGTTGGGATACGTTGGGCATCTGTATGGGGGGGTCCAACATCTCAGGGCGCATGTTCTCAAAGGGCAGACCACATTCTCAGTTGCTGAGTGTAGCCAGGCTAGACGAAAGTTAACACTGACAACAAATGAGCTATAGTCTAAACTCCTAGTATCCCCCTTAATAACCCCTATAGTAATCCCTATATATTCCCCTGTATAACTCCCCTTTAAGGAGTTTAGACTATGGCTCAAATGGCAGGACTATAGTAACCCATCGAGTGCACAGGTGTACCTACCCATCCAGCCATCAAGGAGAAGCAATCAACGGCGTACACTCCTAGTATCCCCCTTAGTAACCCCTGTAAAAGTCCCATGTAATCCCCTATATAACCCACCTTTAGGAGTTTAGGTTTAGAATATAGTTAATATGGGGTCTCAGTCTCAGAAGATCAGACCTAAAGAAGAAGAAGGCCAAACATTTGGAACATGGGAATTGAATGATGTATGCTGCTGTTCACTACATCTTTCTAGGCCTTGGGGTGCGAGCACACACGTTCCAAATTTCCTACACCTGAACCCTAAACCCTGAACCCTAAATCCTGAGCCTAAGTCCTGAAGTTTCAATCCTGAACCCTGAACTCTAGACTCTAGACCCTAAACCGGACTAGATCCTAAACCCTATATCCTCAGGCACGTCCTTTGAATTTGGTATCAAGTTTTCAAGGGAGTGCCACCTCAACAGGCTTGTTTTGGGTTCATGGGTCTGAGATTTAAGCCTCCTTAGATTTGAGGGTTTAAGGTAACCCAGACCCCTGATTAATAAACCCCTCCCTTAATAGGGATTATAATAGGGATCCTAATATTTAGGCCCTTACAAGGAGGGGGTTTATTAATCATGGGTCTACATTACGATGTCTGAGTTTGGTGGGGGCTCGGGGCTTCAAAAGATAAAAACGTGCGCGCGCTAAGCTGTGCTGGAAATCCGGTCATGATTAATGGAAAAGAAAATGGAAACCATTAGGGTTAGATAGGGGTTATATGGGGATAATGGAAAATGAAATGGAAACTACTATAGTATATTAGGGTTATAATTTGCCAAAGCCGGGCCTTGTGAATGGGTCGCTTGCAACTGCTGAAGCCGTCCCACTCGTACTGAATGTCCACGCACATGTACATGAGGGACCTGAGCCACGGGCACACATCGCGACGAGAGGGCGAACGGGCAGTGAGTGGGATTGGGACCACCAGCTGCTTCTTCCAGCTTCGCTATACATCCCGATGGATGTTCATGTAACCCTACAAAATTTGCTGTGATAACGGCTTTGGGGATTTCATCCTAGCAACAAGACCACCACAGCGACAACGATTCCTGGCATCATGACCATCATTAGATTCAGGTAACATCAGGGTTCCTCGTATTAGTATTGACTGCCATGATAACGACAAATGCGAGCCGGATTCGTGCAGCTACGGCCGTCACAACATTAGTGCAACTATTACTACATGGCAGCAGTAATGTTGGTTTAGCCGTCATCGCCACTATCGTAAAACAATGGCAGAAAGACTTGCAACAGCCCCAATAACACCACCCCATTCCGATAGCTTCTACAAGAACAGTCCCAAATTATCCCAAATTGGCCGCGGTCATTTGCAAACGATCAGAAAAGCTCAGGCATCACTATGAGCTGCACCTGCATCCAAGGCAATTTTCCAGGCTGGCAAATGATTTGCTGATGCGTGCAAGGCATGTGTAGCCCACCACTCTGAATTCATGCGAGTCAATATGCGAAAACTGACTTGATGCCGTAATTTTCTTGCGATGTCAGGCAAGCTGAATGGCTTTTCGAAATGCACAATGAGGGCATGCTTTTCAGCCATTGTCGTGGACTTGCTCTGCCTGCAACTTCATCAAACGCAGTGGTTGAGGACATTACGTTAGCAAGAAGGCCCCCCTCACAAGGGCGGGTAAGCCATTCCAGGGTCGACAGGCAGCGCACCCTCTACAGGAGGTTTGCTGGAAGTCTCCTCGCTGGATGTCTTCCAACTGGCACATACCGACGACAAGGATTCTGGGAGCATCTCTTGCAGTCGCTCCGACCAACTATCATTCATAGTATCGTTCACGAAGTCTGCTGCGGCTGCTCCGATTCTGGCCAGTCGATAGACCCAGTCAGGCAGCTTGGAAACTCCAAGGCGCTGACAGAGGTCCTCACAGAAGTGACAGCAGTTCCGCCGCAGCGTGTCGTAATCGCGTCCTTGGTACTCCTCTATCATGTTTGTGAGGATGCTGGACCATGGACAACTTTGTGTACCCGAGGAATAGCTTCTCTCGGAAGCTGTGGTTAGGGTCTTTCCCTGGCGGAACGCCAAACACACCTGGCCGTGAGATCAAAAAGGTCTTTCCATAAGACCACTCAATGCCGTTAATCTCAACGGCTACGTGGAAGACCCCGCCCAGCTTGACGGGAGCCCACCAGTGTGCCAGGACGGCGTTCAAAAGTTTCACAGAATCGCGCTTGGTGACATCATAGACATTCAAATAAATCGGCAGCATGATGGTCCAAATATCAGTTGACTATGGGCACACGCTGTGGTTTGAGCCGTAGCCATGTTGTGGTATCGGTCTAGGCCACATGTTGGATGACCCCGCACTTGCGACACAAATTGTGTGACAGCTGCAGTCATTGCTTCGATTCTATCCTAAGGGCATAGAGTCAAGTTCGGGAATGAACCAAGGATTATATACTAGAATACCACAAAGAATTGCACGTCCACTCTTCCCACTACGCTCATGGCCAAAATACTGGGGCCCCTTTCTAACTAGGCAATGCTACATGTAGTATAATCGGGGTACTCAGAATAATAGGGTACGTATTGGGGTTCTATGGGTGGTTGTCAAAATGATGNNTTTGACAACCACCCATATTGGGGTTATGACCATCTCAGCCTTGCCATCATGGACTGTGAGCGTGCTGGGGGCATGACACAATGAGCAGGGCGTCATTCCAACCAACCTCGCAGGATTTCAGACGGCTAACCGCCTTGAATTTGAGGCTGCTTGCTAGGAGGATGGGAAGACTTCGCAATTTCTTCATAGTCGCATTGGCAACCGTGTAGCAAGGCTGACAGTGGTTGCGACAGCCGCTTGTAAGAAAATGTTTTGAAGGCAGCATACCGTACATCGAGGAACGAATCATAGATTGTGAGCGGTCGGGTGTGATGAGTGTTGCACCCACACTCCAAGCAATCAATCTAGGTAGCAGAAGTATTTGGCCATATCAGTCTCCGCCAGTCCGGCTGATACACACTGAAAGCATCAACTAGCAAGTCTCCGTCGCTTTGCCACATCTCCAGCTAGCAATAAACCACTAGCCAAGACAACCGAAGAACACGAAACCTTCTTATGCTAAGAAACGCTGTGACACATGAATCTTGGCATGTCCCTTTCTCTTTCGTTCTTTGATTCTGTAGTTTCTCAAAAATGGGGCACCCCAATATAGACCGCAATACATATAGACCCCAATATACTAGGGTCCTTATTATTATAAGGATCCCTCTGCAGGTCTGTCCGTGCATCCAGACAATCAGGGAATGCTGAGATCGACCCCTGGATCTGCTTTGCAGCATTCTGTAAGGGTTTAGGGTTTAGGGTACATACAGCAGGTTTTGTGGATCAACGTAGCTTCAAGGATAAGCCATATTCATTCCAGAAAATCAGATTATGATGCAGGCAAAGCTCTCGGAACACAATCCTCGTGACGAGATAAACTTGAAGCAAGGCACAAAAAACGGGAGCATGCAAAGGCAACAACGGATTCCAGGGCCCCAGCTTTTGACTCAGCCATATGAAGTTTCTTTGGATCCTGGCCAGCATTCTCATGCACACTTCTGATGTGATGGTATTAGGATGCAGAATGCCTATGTGATGATCTGTGTCGCGGTCTCACATGAGCTATAGTTTGAACCTTAGTATCCCCCTTAATGAGCCCTATAATACTCCCCTATATAATCCCTTATCGAACCCCCTTTAAGTGCCAGGGAGATATTCACACTTCCGCATGTCAATTCAATATCCTCAGCACCTGAACCCCACTGCCGACCTTGTTCAAGCGGGTGCTTTATATGCTTCTTGGGCCAATTAGTATAGTGACTCTAAGTCTAGGTATACATACACGTATATACCAACCAGAATATTATATGTATATATACGCATGCTATAGAAAACAATCCAAAATAAGAAATTTACATGTACATGATGGTTATGATGATCAGAGCCCCCCTAAACCTCTAGCAGAGACGTTAGCACTCAGTCAGCGCAGCTCCTCCGGCGAGAGCTCGAGGGAAGAGGAGAGCCTCCAGCAAACAGACTTTCAGGACAGAAGGCAAACATACTATAGTAGTTTCCATTTTCTTTTCCAATATCCCAATACTACCCTATGTAACCCCAATATCAACCTTCAACGAAGGCTTGGGCAGCAGAAGTCTTCATCGCTTAGTGCTCAAGGGTTTCAGAGTCTGAGCTTTTTAGCCTTCAGGACTTAGGGTTTAGGGTTTAGGGTTTAGGGTTTGGAGGGTTTATGGTTTAGGGACTTGGGGTTTAGGGATTTTGGGTTAGGGATTTGGGGTTTAAGGCTGTAGTTTTGGGGGGGTTCGAGTGCTGTGGGGGCTTCTGCCCTTCTCCATTTGATTCTCCACTCTTGGGCTCAGATCCCTTAAAACCAACATAGTCCGTATACTATACCCTAATGCCCTTAACTTAACTCTCAACTCTAAAATCCTAAACCCTATGTTCGATCGGCCCTAAACCCTGAATCCTAAACCCTAAGCCCAGCGGCAGAGTTTGAAGATCAAAGTCTACGCGGGGGGGATCTTGCCTTCTCGTTACCGCCATTCCTAAGCAGTCAACCTTTCCTGTGCTTTTTGCTGGGGTTGCACAGTTTCGGGTTTAGGGTTTGGGTTTTAGGGTTCAGGTTTTAGTGTTTACTGTAGGATTCTAGGGTTTTAGGGTGTGGGGCGTAGGCTTTGTTTTTTCAAACTTCCCAAATTCCCCAATCGCACATTTGCACCGCAAGCCACACAGCCCGAAAAGGGAGATCGGATCGGCGTGGTGAAGTCCATAGAAACTGAGATAGACATGCAAAGGAACCCCACTGCAAGGTTCCAGACCCCTACACCCACTGAACTTTGACTTTCCGGCTATAGTAGGGAATAAGGGAATACAATCCCTACCTGGACTAAATTTGCAATATATCTCTTGAAATAGGTCCCCCCCAAAACCCTTTATATTCCCCTATAGGTCCCCAACCTAAATTCAGCCCATGGCTCATATCATCCCTAGAGAACATATCCCCATGTTCCCTACTAAGAACCAACAAGTTGAAGGCCACACGGAAGTTGGCAAATAACTGAGGCAACCTAGGTCCGCATGAACCTGAGATCATTTCAGCCTGCGCTTGCGCGTTTTAGGTCGATCTGAGTTTGCGGCATGTTGAGGTTCGATTCTAAGATAAACAGGGTTTGGGGTTTAGGGTTTGGGATTTATGGTTTAGGTTTTAGGGTTGAGGTTTGATCCTGAAATAGCTATGGCAAACATCATCGCAAGGCCATGCAGGAGAATGCTCGCGTAAAGAAAATGAGGGTCTAGTGATGGTCCAGTCCAAACATGCTGATTTATTAAGAGCTTCCATATCACAGGAAGCAAACGTTGAGGCTTACTTGACATTGTTCCCAAATAGGGGGATGCTAGCTAGAATCATCCTGACTTGTGAAATCCCAACATATCCCCAGGGTCCCTTATACTAGGAGATTTTAGTTTCCCAACCCCTAGAACTTAGGATCCAATCATAACCATACAAAATCACACAAGGTCCTTGTTATAGGGTCCTTGTAAAAAAATCTCAGGGCAACTAGAACCCCTTTATTGCCTCAGGGCCGCAGATTTTGACAAACCCTAAAACCTAAGCCTTAAGCCCTAAACCCTTTAGCCTAAACCTTAAACCCTAAACCCCTAACCCTAAACCCTAAACACCAAACCCTAAACCCTAAACCTCTGATCCCTCGGATGGTCTCTACTGTCCTGTTGAAAAACCCTAAACCCTCAGCAAGACGCCAAGATCCCGGCTGGGGTTCGGCTTGTAGAGAACCTCAGGACCGACACTTGCGATCTACCTATATACTATAGTAGTTTCCA